TTATCTGTACTTCTACTTGAGGAAAGAATGTGTATACTTTAGCCACCTCTGGATCTGGACAATAATTTTCTCACATTGTGACTCAATTATCTATTATAGCCACTTCATGAGCTAAATAGATAAAATCCATACCTGTGTGTGTGTGTGTGCAGGCAGTGCGGTTGCTGAAGAAAGGCGGCGTTCTCGTGTACAGCACCTGCACGGTGACTCTAGCGGAGAACGAGGAGCAGGTAGCCTGGGCCCTCGAGACCTTTCCCTGCCTCACGCTTCAGCCTCAGGTTAAACACACCTCGGCCACGAGGACAGACTCACAAACATGGAGGGAGACGTTAGGAAACTTCATCAAATCACACAGTTTTTTCTTTTCTCCTCAGGAGCCTCACATCGGCGCAGAAGGCATGCTGGGAGCCGGCCTGTCACCTGAGCAGCTGCGCCTCCTCCAGAGGTTCAGTCCCGAGCTGAGCTGGGAGCAGACGGGAACGGCGGCCCTCTCCCGCAGAGCCGACAGCGACACTATCGGCTTCTTCATCGCCAAGTTCCTGAAAGGCTGAGCGGAGGGCACGTTTTCTCTCTCTTACAGCGCCGCCGGCTCTCACACGAGACTGCGGACGGGGAACAATGGTGTTTATATTACGACACTCTGTGTGCTTTGACGGGGTGGTGGTGTTGACAAAGACGCTCACTGCGCCGTTTACAGCATCTGCCTCTCAACAGCTGCTCTCTGAAAACTGCGGGCCATATAGGGATAAGCTTTATAAACACAGAGGGCAAGGAAAAGAGAGGGAGAGGCGAGGAGGGAGGGAGGGAGAGGAGGGCACGTGGGGACGGAGTCTGAATGAGTATTGGCAAATGCAGCAGTGCTAGCGTCGCCATAACAACAGTGACGGCACAGCTGCCATGGTGACAGCGGATTGGCTGGATCTCAGAGCTCAGATCAGGAAGTAGCGTGCAGAAAGAGGTCACGAGAGGTATTAACAATTTAGTGTCTTTTTTAAGTAGTGGTGGAGACGACCGGGAACTCTAATTAGTGCTTCTGCTGCTTGTGAGAGAGAAACGACGCAGCGTGGTGGTTCTGTTCGGATCACTAGAAGGAAATTATATTCATTTGTTCGCCATAAAAGTTCATTTTAAAACAAGACTTTTCTCTCTTTATGTGCATTATCTATTAAGTTCTCTGATTACGCCGATGAAATGTTTAAATACACATCACACTGATTTATTCAGTGCAAATTATGAATGATCGGCCCAGTAAATCTGCACAGAATGTCATTTATTGGTTTGTGCCTATAGTGCACAAACATCTGGCCCCGCTCTGCTTTCACGCATCATTTTTAAGGACCTTCACGGTGACCTCGGCTCAATCCCTCTTCCTTGGAACACCATTCGACTCTTATCGGCCCACATCTGTCTGGAAAACGCCAGCCGACTGCACTTCACCTCCCCGCATCTGTGCGTTTTAACTCTATGGGGGGGGGGGGGGGGGG